CACACCATCTTCCCTTCCAGTTCTTCTTTTATGCTTTGGCAACAAAGGAGGGCCTTCCACAACCCAGAACCACACTGCTTCAGTTCAGCTGAGTGCGACCAGTTCACCATTAATTAAGCCACAATTAGTTTGGGACAGGGTTAGATTGAGTGGAGGACGGTGTGGATTGGGAATTCCTAGCTTCTAACAGCAGAGACTGAATTCACTCTCAATAGTTTATGCAGAAATAAATGTATTCATGGTATTGAATGGCTTACAGAAATATTTGGAAAGCTGAAGAAACAGATTGTAAGCTACATCTTTGGGACCAACTCCCAAAGCTAGGCTGCAGAACTAGACCACCAAGGCAGCTGCTCCTTTCACAACCATCAGAAGACCATCTGCCAAATCAGGAATCCACGGGCCCAGCCTCTGGCTCCAGAAACATGCTCGTCAGCACGTCCACACCAGCTGAACGCACACCTCAGCATGAAGGCCCCAACAGCCGTCGCCTCCAGAAACAAAGCTGTGGCAAGGACATTCTTTGGAGAGATACCCTAAACTGGGGAACTGTGCACAACTGCTGTGGTGGAGTGATGGGGAGAAAGGCACACCACACTCTTCTCTGTTAGCTATGGTCATTCCTACAAATATTGCTGGGATAGATTCCACTTTCTCTTCCTCTCTGTATTTGAAGAGATCCACATCCCATCTGTACCTCTAACTCTAGGGCAGTCTGGGAAGTGCAGTTTCAGCTTCTGGCCCCAGTGGAACCCACAGGTACTGTAAAAGGAGAGAGGAAGAGGGGCCAAAGGAGCCAGCCTAATCATCTGCCCCCTTAGCTGGGCTGGATGGCCCGGATGCATCAGCCTCGATTGGCCTGGCTGATGTGGATGGAATTAGGCTAGGGAGACTTGGGAGGTATACAGCTGAGCCTGCTGAGCTGGGTTGGCAGCGCTGGCAGGATGGGGTTGGCAAGGGTGATGTGTGCCCAGAACCACTGGGAAGCCACTTCTGGGCACTGGTGTGGAGCCCTGTAAATGCAATAGTGTGTCTTACTGTTCAGAACAAGGAAGATGAGACTCAGGAGATAACATGCCAATGACAACAGCACCCTTTTCAGCCCTCTCTCCTTCGGCTTTATCTTTACCTTGGGGCCAACCCCACCTCTGGTCACTCAAGTCAAACCCAAACCTAGGCTTAGGACATTTCTGGGGCTCAGCTCACTCTCCCCTGCCCTCCTTAAAATGAAATCTATTCTATCAAAAAGCTTGGGAAATGAGTACCAAGGAGAGAAACTTGCAGAATGTATTATCTGAAGGCAAAACCAAAGCCACTCAGGATATCAGAGGCAGTATGGTTCCCGCCCTCCACTTCTAGTGGGCAGAGCTGAGGATGGGGTGGAATCTGGGAGGTGCTGCAGAGTCTCACAGGTGCTATGTTCACAGAGCCAAGGAAAATATGTGCTGGCAAGCATACCTGTTCACACACCAAGGCAATGCATGCGAGCACAGGGCCTATCAGTTGGCAAGACATCTCCAGGGTATGCACATTCTCCTGGAGTAGCACCACAAAGCCCATCTGTCACATCCCAGAGAGAACCAGTCACGTTCAGAGAGGCCAGGTGGCCTTTCCAAAGAAACACAGAAGAACTGGAATTCACTTTTTGCTACTGTTGCTTACACAAACATTTTCTGTCTCTTGATCAAAATTCCCTTTCCATGAGGTATGCAACTTTGCCTATCTTGTTCATAGTGGTAGTCCAAGCACAGAGTATAGTAGGTACACCATACACATTTACTAAGTAAAAGAGGAAAGAAGCCCAAGCCTCAACAATCCATGTTCTTTCCATTAACACACACACACACACACACACACACACACATCCCACTTGTCTTTGCAGTCTTATCCCATCTCTGCTCCCTGGGGCTGGATGGACCAAGTCATGCATTCTTGTTCTTCCTGACCCACTGGCTCAAGACCAAGAAAAGAAATCCTGGGACTCAGATCTGAGCAAGCCTAGCACTGTCCTGGAACAGTAGGTCTACAAAATGTGTCTCCCTTTCACCATCTGCCTTCACATATGCCCTTTGGAGACATCCAGCAGAAATGCCTGACAATTACATTTGGAATCTAAGGGAGGACAGTAGCTAGCCCAGGCTAGTGGGTCCACCAGCCTGAGTCTCTACTTCTCAGAACACGGTCTCATTTGTGCATAGACAATCAGTGAGGCAGAGGTCATTGTGTCCATTTTGTATGTAAAGAAACTGAGGTTCCTAATGAAAACACTGAAATGCCCTCAGCTGCACAGCTAACACATGCAAGACCTGAATCAGAGCCCAATCTATGTAATGCTGAGGTGTATGGTGTCAACACCTCCACAAGGGAGGACATCTCTCCTCCACCCCTGGGCTCTGTGAAGGGCAGGATCATGTCATCTCTTCTCTCTGTCCTGCCTCTCTCTCAGCCTGGGTCAGCACAGGGTGGGAAAGGAGGGAGGGGTTTTTTCTGCTTCCGACTGATATTGATGGATGGAGTGACTATTGTAAATGCTACGGTGTTGTGTAATCAGTAGGAAAATGTGACTCTGTCCCCAGAGATACCGATGGCATTTTGGAGAAAATCCTCCCCTTGATTTTTCTGAGCCTGTTGAGTTAAAATGTCTAGGTGACAGGGACAGGCTGGGGACTCTGCCACACAAGGCTTGGGAGGGCCACTTGCGGTTCTAGCCCCTGCCTGAGAGAAGAGGGGTTGGGAGAGTCCCTGCAGGTGGTGCTCAGGCAGAGGCGCACACATGCGTGACTGCGGGTCAGAGGACCAGGTGAGGGGGCTTCACCTCGAATCTCATTCTCTCTGCCTCACTTATTTTTCTTTACAGAAGAGAAAAGGAAAAAAGCACTCAGCTCGCTGTAAGAGTGGTGCAAATGTACAAAAATGCACTGAACACTTACCATAGTCACTGCTGCATCTGATACCTAGTAAATAGTAAGCGAGCAAAGAAATGAAAGAAGAAATGACAGAGAATGTGCCAGTACCAAAGGGACAGGCTTTGGAGCCAGGAGATCCAAACTGGAGCTATTTCTGTCACCTACTGGCGGAGTGACCTTAGGCAAGTCACTTAACCTTGCTGAGCCTTGGTTAATAATAGCAATAATCCCTGTCTCTGTGGTCATTGTGGGGATTAAAGCAAAGAGCCGGGCGGAACCGCCCAGTTAACGGCAGGGCTCTGTGCAAATGTTAGTTGTAATTATTCGCTGCAATTATGACTGCTTGGCAGGAGGCCTGTGTGCGAGTGGGGGTCTTGGAGAGAGGGTGGGCTTGTGACCAGGCTGTGTGTGCGTGTGTATTGTGTGTGGGTGTGTTTGGACAACCGGGGCCATTAGAAAAACCATCATTCCTCTAAGTTGTTCTTTCTTTTGCTAAACTCAACCTGCCAGGCTGACATCGGAAACAGGAATTAGTGGCAAATCTGGGGGGACAGGATTAGTGGCTGAACTTTCTATTCCTGGAGACCCTCTTTTCTCAAGAGGTCAAAGCAATTTCCATATATTATCCTGCTGGCAGCTTGGGAAGGTCAGGAAAACAGCGAATACGTGCAAGTTCCTCAGATGGAGAAATCAAGGCAGGAAGGGCAGCCGCCAAGGCCATCCTGTGCTGCCTGCTTAAACCACCACCCAAAAGATGGTACAGTCACAGGGGCCTGTCCTGGCAGACTGCAGTTCATTCCTTTGAGTGCTCATAACATCTCCCTTCCTCCTGGCCCACCCTAACCCTAACCCCAACCCTGGCATGTGGACATGCATTCCTCAGAGGACCTTACTCTGTCTCAGTCCCCACCTTTCAGCCCCTGGTCAGGACATGCCTTCATTTGCTCTACAATTCCTTCAAGTTCAGATTGCCTTCTCCAGGAGTGTGCCTGACTGCCCCTTGCTGCAGATGGACCAGTTCTTCCCTGAGCCATTGGAGAGAAGGGACCAGGGGGCGGGGTTTGAGGTCCAACCACAAGGCACCTACTGAGACAGAAGGCAAGGCCAGGAAGTATCTGGTGACACCGATCAGAACTGGCACCACCTAGATAGACACCATGAATGTGCAACTGGTGAGCTGAGGTGCAGAGCAGGGCATCTCTGAGGGGTCAGAGCAGCAGTTCTCAAAGTGGGCTCCCCAGGCCAGTAGGGTGAGGGTCACCTGGGAACCTGCAAGAGATGCCAGTTCTCCACCCCAGCCCTGATCTCCTGGATCATCTAGTATTGAGCGAGCCATGCAGGTGGTTGGGGATCTCCTCAAGTTTAGGGGCCCCAGGCACACACTGCACGCCCCCCCCCCATGCAGGCAGCCAGTGCCTGGCTTCCCAGCAGATCTCAGAAGCCACTCTGGCCACCCTGGTTTTGGCTCACCAAGGCAGGTTCCTACCTGAGATTACCCACCTTGTAGAGAGTCAGGGGTTACCGTTCTGGGTCCTCTCCTTTCCCATTCACTGTCATCATAGGTGTCCTTGGGACCCATGCCCTGCAAGCCTCTTGAGTCTTAGTTCTATGGAATAAGGAACCTACCTGCCACCTCTTCATTTGCCCATGTCCGCACTAACCCTGGCCGCATTCCCAGGATGTCCTAGCCCTCCGCCTCTATGGATACACAAGTTTTTCTCTAGGGCTTCAGAAAAGGGGGTGCTGTCTGCAAGTCTGTCTTCGCTGCCTGTGGGGGAAGGGTTCCAGAAGATCCCCGACCGCACCGCGCTTTACAGTATACAGAATGCCTCTTCGTGTCACCGTTCCTGCGGATACCAAGCTCTCCAGAACAATCACAAACTGAGATAGCAGAGTCGGATGACCAGTCCAGGTCTGGCTGGACCGTGGGGGCCTAGACAGGCCGTAAACCAGGTGCGCCTCCGACCACGTGCACAAGAGGGCGCCAAGGGCCCGTAGAGACACCAGGCATCGGATCTGCCCACCCCGCCACTCTGGGGCTCAGCTCCTGCCCAGAGCGGAGCGGAAAAAGGAACCGGCTCAGGGTGTCCGGGAGGAATGGCGGAGAGAGGAGCAGGGTCTGAGCTCAGGATTTCAGTTCCAAAATCCCAGATGCCTCTCCTTGCTGTGTGACCTCTGGTGAGATATCTGACCTCTCTGCGCTTCATCTGTAATTATGGAAATAAAATTCCCGCCCCTGCCACCACTCGACCCAGCCCGCCAAAGGCTCCTAAACCCAAAATTGAGATCGTTGATTCAGGCTCGCTGTGCAAACGCTAACGCCCTGTTCACAGGTTAGTAATCAGTATAAAACCTTTTCTCCTTGGACGCAGCCTCTATGTGTAAAGTCCCCCTCGGACGACACAGTCGTGGCCTCCGGTCCCATTTTATGGACGCGCAACCTAAGGCTCGGGGAAACTGCTCTTTCCGGAGGCCTGGAGCTCACCTGCAGAGGGGGGTCTGGTCGGGGCGGTAGCCCCTAACTCGTTCCTCCCTGTCCTGAAGCCTCCGCTCCAGCGGGCGGGGTGCTAGAAGTCGCCCCAATATTCTGCTGACTCGAGGAGCTCGGGAAGCCAGACCGGCCAGAGAAACCAAAGAACCTAATGCTCTGGCCGACCCCACCCCGTTCCCGCCTGGTGCGAAGAATTAGGGGTTCCTCGGCCCCCAGGTCTGGCCCCAGCCTCTGGTCCGAAGACGCGCAGCCCGCCCCCCCCCCCCCCGCGTCCCGCGCGTGGGGTCCTGGCCGCGCTCTGCAGAGGCGGCGCAGCGCGACTCGCTGGCTTCCCCTGGTTCCCACGCCCTCCCGGCCAGCGACCGGGAGAAGGCCGTCTGCACCCGGGTTCTGAGCTCCACTGAGCCCGCGTTTTCAGCTCGCCACCCCTTTCTCCGCGCGAGCTCCTCTGCCCTCGCCCTGCAGGCTACATCCCGAGCCCGCACCGCGCGCCGCTTGTCTGCGTGGCCCGAGCGTCTCTGCGACACCGCGTGTGGGCTGCCGCGACTTTGCGCGTAGAGACCAGGCAGGGACAGGTCCGCGGGGGCAGCATATGAGGGAGAGGAGGGGCACAGGACAGGGATGGGGGTGAAATGGTTCTCAGCTGCGGAGGAAGTAAGCACTAGCGCCCCTCTCTCGCATCCGCCGCGTTTGCATAAACATGAGTCCCCCCAGGCGGAGACTCGGGTGAGGAGCCCGGGGAATCTGCTACCACCGCCAGCCGGCGGAGGTGTCCTTTTCCTGGCCCCTAGAGGCGTTTCGCCCTGCTTTAGCAGGCCATCCGCGTTTCTCCCCTACAGGTGTTATAGTCAGGACTCAGAGAAGTTAGGGAGCTGGCCCCGGGCTGCATAGCAGGCCAAGGACTCCACCCGCAACAGCTTCAGCGAGATTCAGGCTCGAGTGGAGAGCAGCTGGTCTGCCGGGCGGAGGGGCCTCTCCCCTCACTCACTCTCGATCCCCATCGCTGGCCCTCACGGACCCTGGTCCTTGCCCACCTCCCCCTTCCAGCCCTCGCTGCGGCGAACTCAGCCTGGGCTACACCTCCAAAACTAGAGCGTGGAGCCGAGAAAATCAGGCTAAACCCCCAGGGATCTCTGTCGAGGCGGGATTGTAGGCCGGCTCTCCTCTGGCCAGGCTTCTCCGCGCTCTCCTCACCACCCGGGGTCTCCCTCGGCTCCTGCCCCAGGCCTTCACCTTCCCGACTTCTGTCTCTGTCCAGGCTTCTGTGCATCCTTCTCCCTGGCTTCTTACTACCTCCGACCCTGACCACCCTGATTGCCCGTTCCCTACTGCCTGGCTGAGCCACTTTCTCTGACTCTGCATCGGGTCTCTCTGTCTCTCCCCATGAAGCTGCACCTCCCACCCCCGCGAAGGAACACACACCGGCAGAATCCGCCTTTTCAATAAAAAACTACAACTGGGAAACAGTGAATTAAAAAGCATTAACTTAAAAACAATCCATATGTTTGTAAATGCGTTCCAAATGGCAGCCTTTGGGGGGGTGATGTGGACCACATGTTCTGGGGTTCCAGACACAAAGGGGGGGGCGCAGGGCCGAAGTGCACCGGGCCAGCTAACCACCTGGGAGGTGGGGTCTCAGGAACACCCCTTCCTCTGCACCTTCCCTGTCTCTGATGCCCACCCAACTTCTTGGATACTGGCTTCCACTATTTTCTCCTGCTCACCCATGATCCCCAAAACTTAGCAATACTGACCTGAGACTGTCTGTATGCACTAGCCCTCTCCAATCCTCACCCACACAGCTCCATGCACCCCCCCCACACACACACACATAGCCTTCTAATACCCAGATCTGCCATGCCCCACCCCCACCCTTTCCCTGGACCACCCAGCAACCCCACACTGAGAAGCAGTTAGAAGGAAGCTGCCTTGGCCTGAAGAGACTCCCTGGGGAACTGCACACAGATGGGGCCATGCCAGTCCCACTTCCTGCAACCTCAGGGTCCTGTCCCTGCTCTTCCAAAGCTCGGTCTAGAGGTGGGCCACGTCGCCTGCAGGAGACTGCTGCAATCCCATGCCACCTGGCAGAACGGTCCTCTCAAAGTTCTGCATGCTGCCTCTCTTACCCTGCCTACCGATGCCCCTCCCTTTCCCTGGAATGGAAGAACTGGAGCACATCAATTAAGTCTCCATCAGAGAAGATGAGGTCAGGGAGGGTACCCCTACTGTCCCTGGAAGTGTCCTCTGAATCAGAAGAGAAATCTGAGTCCACAAAGCAGACGGGGAGAGGTGGTCTGGATGCTTAGCCTGGCTCTACTAATGACAATGACCTCAATTATGACAATAATAATAATGGAGCCACTAACACGTATTGACCACTCACCATGTGCTCTGTATACATCAAAGCATGGAAACTGCAAATGGCTGTAGGACTTCAAGCAGTAGCTGACTCTGCCTCAGTTCACTTGCCCTATCTGTAGCATGAAGGGATAGGACCAGAGATTCTTCTGGCTTAGACAGAAACATCTGTAGTTGAATCAGAATTTCCCAGGCAAATTGTATTTGTCACTCTTCCTATCCATTTTTTTTTTTTTAAAAAAAAAAGACAAAGAAGTCAACCAGGAAAATCTTGGTGTCAACTGATTCTGATTTCAAAATAACAAAACAAAGTCATTGTTTAGAAAAATCCTAACAGATCTCACCAAATCAGAATTTTCTGACTCTTAGTAACTGGATATGAACCATTTAATTGAATTTTTAATGCTAAAGCTGCTTTGTAGCCTGGGATGGGGGTACACACCTGTAACCACAGGTGCTCCTGGGAGGGTGGTG